TGTTGTTTGTTTGGGTTTTTTTTTTTAATCATTTCTCACATTTTTTCTGGAAGCCACTTGCTTTTACTTCCTCTTTACTCAGTTAATATTATTTTCTTCTCACGTATCTGAGAGAGTAGAAGACTAGGTAATTATAGTTATAGTTTTCATTATTTACCAGACTCAGAAAAGAAACTCACTAAAAGGGTGTAAAGTGTAAAAGTATAAAAGGCATAAAAAGATAATGTGATAATGCAAATTAGAATATAAAGTAAATTAGGGACAAGCCTTTGGACTCACCAAGACAGGATAGATAATGAAGTATTTTCTCTGAATTTGTCTAATTCAAATAGACTAGATATTGTCTTTGAATATGCTAAATGCAAATGAATGAGATATTTTCTATGAATTTGTCAAATGCAAATGGACTAGACATTGTGGATATAATAGCTATGTGTGTATAAAAAGGAGAATTGTGGTAATATATTGTTTATAATTTATTAAGCTTGGAGCCAGGACTGCCTCCCGGTCTGAGGTAGAGTCAAGAGCTAACAGCTTGGATGCTTTGCTTTTCTGACCTTAAGACTGGCTTTAATAAATCATAAACAATATATCTCTACAAACCATGTCTTTTTATTGGTGAATTGAGTCAATTGATATTAAGAGATACTAATGACCCCTGATTTCTTTGCCCCTATTATTGTGTTGGTAATGGCAGTAGTGTGTGTGTGTGTGTGTGAGTGTGTGTGTGTCTGTGTGTGTGTGAGAGAGAGAGAGAGTGTGTGTGTGTGTCTATGACTGTTACTGTGTCTGTGCATATGTATATCCCTTCTCTGGATTTTGTTGCTGTGTTATTACCTATGTTTACATGGGTGTAGTTAATTTCCTTGGGTTGGAGTTTTCCTTCTAGTACTTTCATTTTTTTAAGTGAAGATTTAGCCATGTCCTTCCAAGTTTTAAATTTTCTTTTTCATTTTACATAACAACCAGTTCTCCCTACCTCTTATTCTCCCATCTTCCCCCTGCTCCATCTCACCCACATCCATTCCCTAGAGGGGATAGGACCTCCCTTGTGGAGTCAACAAAATCTGACATACCAAGTTGAGGCAGGACCAACCTCTTCCCCACTGCATCAAGACTGAGCAAGGTATCCCACTATAGGGAATGTACTTCACAAATTTAGTTTATACACCTGGGATAAGTCCTAGCCCCACTGGCAGAGGTCCCACAAACAAATCATGCCACACAACTGTTACCCACAAGACCCCTCTAGCTCAGGTCAACTGTCTCTGTGGGTTTTCCCTATGATCTCTCCTCCCTTTCTTCATCTGAACTCTAGGAGCTCATCATAGTGCTTGGCTGTGGATCACTGCATCTGCTTCTATCGTTTACTGGATGTAGATTCTATAATGACAGTTAAGGTAGTCACTAATGTGATTACAGGGACAGAACACTTCAGACACACTCTCCACTATTGCATAGCTGGGATCATCCTTATTGATGTTGAAGATTTTAACTAGAATTACATTTAAACTATGACCTAAGTTGTGAAGAATAGACACATATAAAATGCTGAGTTTTCTAACTAGTAACAGAAATAGAGTTCCCATGATTGTATGCATTCAAGATAGATCTCTCTTATTTAACAATCTGATAAAAATTTGATTGTTTCTCTTGTGATTGTCTTATATTTATCAAGTTTCAATTGTGCTGTTTTTTATTTTGATGACATTAAAATAAATTCTCTTTTTTAATTTCTTTGTTTGGCATATACAAATATAGTTGTTGGTTTTGTTGTTGTTGGTGGTGGTGGTGGTTTTTACTGTGTTGGTTTTATACCAAACACCATTGCCAAACTTTGACTTCTCATATTGCACTTGAAATTATGTTGTATTTCCAACCTTATACTTATGTTTATGCTATTGGTAAATAAAAACAGTTATTTGCATGGGCTCCATTCTTTGTCTTCCTTTTTTGCCCATTCAGATGGCTTATTTTCTTTTTGTGCTTCTGAGATTGTACCCAGGTCCTTGTATATTCCAAGCAAGTACTCTACCACTGAGCCTGATGATCTGACTCCTGATCTCAAAGAGAAAGTCATCAATAAATCATGATTTCATTTGAAATATATATAGATTATGTCACATATTAGCATATTTTAAAGGTTTTTTGGTGGCTTCTGCCCCTTCATGATGAATGAAAAGCTTGTATCAGATGACAGCTCTGCCAACAGTAGCTGTAAGGTGGTTTCAAGGGCCAAATAGAAGAGCTATCATTGTACAATACAAAATTTCCAGAATCAGGGTACTGTTGAGAGGGAGTCTGGTATTTCACATCCATGTAGTACTATGAACATTTGTCCATAATTGGTACAAACTAGCAACACTTCACAGAGGGCCCACTATCAAATGGCAGAGAAAAAAGAGTTTTGTGACTGTATGAGACTGGAAGAGAAATACAAACTTGAGGAACAGTTTCCCAACAAGAAGAAAAATACTCAATAATTCATTGGATTTCCATTTTGACATACTTGTTAAATTCTATGCAGGGGGGGCACAGAGAGGGGGGAGGGGAAGATCCTTTGAAAGGTAAAGTAAAATTTCTCTGTAGCATTTGATACTAAAATAAAATGGTTTCAGGTCAGTTAAATTAAGGAGCAAGCCCCTAGAATGCACAACTTCAGTCATACGAAATCCTTAGTATTCTAATACAGAAATTGAGATAAAATAGATACAGAGCTTCACTGAAGGGAATCTATTCTGATAGCATGTCTAAACTAACATATCCTATTCTAAATGGCCATTAATAAACAACATGAGCACTCATAAAGAAAAATAACATCGTATGGAGGCTTCATTGATTTTTATATACAATGTTTGGCAGCCAAGGAAAAATGCCAAGACAGAGAGTTGAATCACATTTAGCTCATTCAAAGGAAAACATTGAAAGTAGAAATAAACTCAGAGGTTATCTCATTTAGATTAACTTAACTAAGTAAAACTTAAGGAAAAGAGAAGAAATCAGAAAATGTCCAGATAATTGAAATATATGGAAAATAAATTAATGTTTTAAAAAGAGACATAACAACTAAAATTAAGAATGAAGATTAGAAAGCTTTCTCTTTCTGGCTTTATTTTATTAAAAAGCAAAGCATGTTTCCTTTTGAATCATTGCAACATTATTGTTCTCTTTAATTCTTATTTTGTTTTGTTTAGACAGAGTCTTCCTATGTAACTCAAGCTGGCCTAGAGAGCTCACTGTAATACTATGCAGTGATTATCTTGCCTCTGCCTCCTGAATACTGTACCATGATGCCTGGACACTTTAATTGCTTAATATATTTAATTTACTGAATTAAATGCTGATACATATTTCTTTTTTTTAAGAAATAGCCTCATACATAAGTGCATGTGGTTACATATCTCACATTTTTATTTATTTATTTTATATAACCAAGTCCATTTAAATGAAAACAAACATTTATAGACAATATGTGGGAATTTGGGCATCGTTCTTTCCAAACTACTTCCTGCTGGTAAGGGGCGCTGTCATGGGGGATTCTAAGAAGATGCAGAAATCCTGGCTGTAGTCTGTAAAGCTGCTTTGTCCAGCTGTTTGAATGTAGGATCACCTGGTTCTCTGTTTCAGGCAGTCTGGCTTGATCAAACCACATTAGTCTGGAAGGAATCCTCATCTTTTCATTTTCTGTGGAAACAAAAAATAGAAATCCTTTTCCCCAGTAACTTGTCCTTCAACTTAAATTTTGGAGTCAAAGCATTTTTTTTAAATTTAATTTATTATTTTACATGTGGATCCCAGTTCCCTCTCCCTACTTCCCTAACAAATGCAAAAATAAAAATGCCAGGAGTTGAGGTCTGAGAAATTAAGAAGGGATATTTCCTGTAGGGTGTGGTGGATAAAGTATCTAAATTTTATTTTCAAAATAGCAGTCAAGAGTTTCATTTAGTAAAAAGTATATGATTTCATTTATACTTTAGACATGTAATTTGAGCTTCTGTTTGGGAAATAGTTCAGACGGAACCATTGCTGGCTACTAAGACTGCAGAGAGCAGACTATTGAAATACTGTGGCAAGGACTTAGATGAAAAGGTAGATGAATTTGGTAATTGTTGTCAGGTGAATTCTTAGAGTTTTGTGACAGGTTATTGGGAATGAAAATCAAAATAGAGCTAAGTCAAAGCTCAGGTGGTATGTAGAAAACCTTACTAGGTGATGTCATCACTAAGTGTTAGTTTGGACGAAGTAGTGTCCCTTCTCTTCTTTATTTGCCTCAGAAAATTTCAATATATGTTTTCCCTATAAGAGTCCACTAACATATCCAGTTCCCCTTAAAGGGAGGCAATAGCTCCTACAGAAAACTTACAGAACAGAAACAAATTCTTTTATTTTATTTTCACTGAGTTCTGTACATTAGGCAGTAATCTTCTAAAAATAACTGATGGGAGCATTTTGGGGGGTTATATTAAAAAGATCTACAGCTTCTGTTTTGGTTGCTGTATCCATTCTATGTCTTATCTGTCTCATTTTTTCAGGAAACTACCTACATAAACATATGTGGAGTCATGACCCAAGGCTTATTTTGAGAACATGTAGTGGATTTCTTTCCCTCTGAGACTTGAGATGACTAGAGATAAAGCTGACCATTTAGTCACCATTATGCCAAAAAAAATCTATAATTATTTCTTGCAGCTACTTCCACATTCCTGGTTCCCTAAAACTATCAGATAGTAAATGTTTTCATAAATAAGTATAGTGGCACATACCTATAATTCTAACATTCAGAAGATAGAAGCAGAATGACCATGAGTTTGGTACCAATTTGGACTATTTAGCATGCTCCAAGAAAGCCTAGGCTGCATAGCAAAACCCTGTCTTTAAATCAACCAGCAAATCAAACAAATGTGTGTAGGTTCTTAACCACTATATTTTGGGCTAATTTGTTACACAGAAATAGCTAATACATTTGGATTGCTAGCAAAAATATCAGAATGAGGCAAATGTTTGATGAATAATGATCATAAACTATTTTATTAAAACAGTACCTTAACAGAACTTTATTTGGTATAGAAATAACAGCATAAACATGAATATGATTATCAGCAAACACAGTGGAGATATTAGTACTTCTGGGTTGTTCTAAGACTATATAATTCAAAAGCTATAATACTGACTTAAGATAGCATATAATCATTAGTCTTTTCTAGATGGATAGGTGGATGTATGTATGTATGGATGGATGGAACAGAAATCAAAAAGATATTTTAACAAAGAAATTGAGATATTCCCCTTTGAAGAAAGATCCCTTTAGCATTCCTTCCAAGACCTATGTTCAAAAGGAAACAGGGTGTGTCCATTGTCCAGAGAACATGACTTTAAAATTCCCTTTACCTTGTATCTTATGTAGAATGATAATATCTTGATTTAGAGTCTAGGGACCAATTCGACAATTGTTCAGTCTAACATTTAAACTTGAACATACATTTTGTAAGACTTGGGGCTAAATTCAGTGGCTCACATATGCTAGGCCAGTACTCTGAGATAGATCTATACCTGCAGTTATCTTTAGATCTCAAGCCACCAGTGCTATGGGTTCTCTTGGCCTCTCACGTCCAAAAATTTCACCCATTTATGTTTCACAATCTTTAAAGTATATGGCTACTGCTATCAGCTGGTGAATGATTTTCTTCTGCTTGAGATGGGAAATTCATGGCAAATATTCTCTTCCTTGAATGTGCAAGACAAGAGCCCAGTGAAGGAAGAGATAAAAGAAAACCAAAATGCCAGGCAGGTGGGTAATTTTTTGGGGCCTCATGCTATGGGTGTTTTGGATTTCCAGAGAAAAATAAGCCTTTTAAGTTCAGGGCAGTTGCAAGTCACAGCCCTAAGGCCTGGCTGGTTTTGTCAATCTGGCAGTTGAGTGTCAGTGCAAAAGACATCCCCAGCACCTGAAGAAAGAATTGAGAAAATGTGAGGTCTTCATGATAGAAAACACTTCATTCATAGATCCTGAGATTGATAAAAGAAAAGCAAGATTTCCATCACATTGTGACCACCCTCCAGCATCACTCATGCCCCTTTAAGGAATTTCTCTCTTTAAGATTAGAATAGCATTATAAAGAAAACGAGGACTATTATAGTGTGGTGGAAAAGTAGAGGGTCTTAGAAACATTTTCTTCTTAGGCAGTCACAGAATCTTAGCTGTCTAGTCAAGTTGTCTTTATAGACAGCTTAAGAAAAGTAAGTCTGCTCTGCCCAAGCCATATGTTTCCTTTGCTTCCAAGCAGAGAAAGGGTCATTTAACTCTTATCTGTTGACTAAGTCTTAAATAATGTATAATATGCCCAATACTTGGGTAGAAAATAGTGTTGCAGATATCACACAACAAAACAACACAATTTTTCCCTTTCACTTGTCAAACAAGTACAAGCATAAAGGGAAACTTTTCATCATAACTTCCTTCTTAGCATAAAATGTCAGTTTTTCAAGTGAGCTTCTTATAATAATCTTTTCCAGATCAGCTAAGTGAGCAACTAATGCAGAATTCTGTTTGGACTCTTAATTTGACTGTGAGTCATTCATATCTCTAAGGGATACACTTATTTGATAAATATTCTTTTGTGGTGGTAGGGTTTTTTTTCCTGTAGCTTTGGAGCCTGTCCTGGAACACACTCTGTAGACCAGACTGGCATCAATCTCACAAAAATCCATGTGTCTTTGCCTCCCGAGTGCTGGTATTAAAGGCATGGACCACCCTGATGATATAGATTCCATATATATATATATATATATATATATATATATATATTTATATTTATATTTATATTTAAATTTAAATTTAAAACAAGCTTGTTTTACATGTCAATCCCAGTTCCTGCACCCTCCCACCCTCCCCTATTCCCCCCACAAACCCCCAACCCATCCCCTTTCTGCTTCCCAGGGAGCAGCCATCCATATGGAGTCTTCAAAGTATGTCATATCACTGGAGCAGAGCCTAGCCTGAGGGCGTATCTTTCTATGTGGAAAGGGCTCCCAAAGTCCATTTGTATACTAGAGATAAATACTGATCCATTACTAAAGGCCTCAGAGACTGCCTAGTCCTCCTAACTAACACCACATTTGGGGAGATATATATAAGAATATGTACATATTCTTATAACAACTTTCTTCATGTTTTAAGTTGAATTGATAAAATAATCACTGGCTCCTTGGCTAGAGGAACTCATGAATAATATGACATTCATTGTCTCATTCTACTTCCCCAGCACTGTTCTAAAACTTTATGTTTTACCTCATTTAACTCTTATAGGGTTCCTGGGGTTAAGCTCTTACCTGTATCACACAAACACAGATGGTAATGATTCCAATATACAAAAAGTTGGAGTGAAACCATGATTTTGCTTTATTATAGCAACCCTAGGAAAAATTATAAGCATGAATGATATCATTCAATATGTCAACCTTATAGGGAAGGTTATCTTGAGTAGTAGTTTGTATTTATTGAATACAAAGATTTACTTCACGTGTTAGATGTTTAAAGAGATAGGCATAAAGCAGAAAATATTAAATCAGAGACCTTTCTACTGATATTACTTGCACTTAACACAGAAGACTTAGCTCTTAACAGTTAAATTAAATCCCAAGAAGTAGGTAAGAAATATTCATCCTTATGTTCTTTGGACACTCAGTGCTGATCTAAAAGTAACATATGAGATTATAGGTTTTGTGATCTTTGAATCAAGAAACTTATGTCTGCTTTATAACCCCATAACATTCCAGAGTCATTGACTGATGGTTGCCCTGGTTTTTCCCTTGGACCTGGACATTTCTGTAGATTTCTAAACTCAGGAAGGTAACATGGGGTCAATACAAGATTCTAGAGATTTAGCTTACTGGAAGATAACTGTTTCCTTCTAGATGAAGAGAGACCCAAAATTAAGAGGGAAAATGGTTTCTAAAATCTCTTTCTCCAAAACACTCATTTCCTCCACATATGTTTAACTCATCTGCCGTCTCCAAACAGAGACAGAAGACAGGTACTTGAAAAGCTATTCTGCCCTAATCCTGTAAATCATACTTTAAACACAAACAGAACTACCTTTTGTTCAATAATTATCTAGATAATTCTCTGGGCTAGTTTTACACAAACTAACACAAACACACACAGACAAACACACACCCCACTCTTTTAATAGTAACAAAAGATTCTTCACAATGTCTCCTAACTGGATTATCTTTCTCCTAGATTTTGGGGATTTCTGTAGTAATTGGGGGTTGTTTCCATGCTCTTTCTTATTATTATTCCAAAATCCCTCTTTCTAGGTGGAAGGTTTAGGTCATTTCTGGCACAGTTTATGATGTAACTAAGTTTGAACAAAGACGACAATAACAGGAATATTGCCAAAAATTACCTGAATATTTGCATCTAGTGGGCAGGACGATGGTGGCCCACTGATCCAATCACTTGAGCTATTTACACCACAACACTGCAGCTGAAAGATATGTCCCCCAAACATGATGTTTAAAAAATCAACAGAAAAACAAAACCCTAAACTTTATACAAAAGGTATGCTTGTCATTCAAATCTGACTCTAGGGAAGAAAATTCAGAATCTACTACTACAGACCCTTTCGAATTAAATGTTCACAAGACTGTTATACAATTTTATTCACAGAAGACCTCTACAGAGTTCAAAGGGCCTGTTTGGTTTTTATATTTATCTATTGAGTACTTTCTGCCCAGGAGGCCTTATAACATAGAATTAGGGCTAACCACATTGATCCTTGAGATTATTGAAAAAAGAACATTTAGATACCTGCTTAGATGAGAAAACAAGAAGAGACAGTTATGGTAGTTTTTCATGTAGCATAAACTTATGATCTAACTATACTACTCTTGGAATATACCCAAAGGACTCTATATCCTACTAAAGAGAAACTTGCTTATCCATTTTATTAATATTCTATTCAGAATAGCCAAAATTGGAAATAGTCTAAATGTCCATCAACTGATGAATGGATATTAAAATGTAGTACATTTATACAATAAAATATTATTTAGTTCTTAAGAAAATTTAAATTAAGAAAATGTCAGGTAAATGAATGGAGGTGGAAACAATCATCCTGAGGAAATTAACCTGGACTCAGAAGAAATATTATGTTTTCCTTTTATATATGTATGTTAACTTAGAATGTTTATATTATTTGTTTAATTTGTAATATAAGATAGAGGTCAGAAAACTATTAAAGGGGGTTACTCTCAAGAGAGAGGGGATAGAGATAATTCTGTTATATAAAGGAGAAATGGAGGGAATAGTTAAATGAGTTAGGGATAGGAAGGCAGGATAAGGGGTACAATACTATGAGAGGTAAAGGAGAGGTAACTAACACTAGCTAAAGAGCTTTGTGAAAACCATATGGAAATATATATATATATATATATATATATATATATATATGTTTATAATAGTATGTTGCCATATATATACATGTATATGTGACACATACACACACACATATGAGTACATTTAGATGGAGCTACCCTAAAATTGAACAATAATTACTAGACTCCAGACTAACAAAAACAGCCCTTTGTTGTAGTTGTTGGCCATTGAGGTCCCATAGACCCATAAATACGGCAAGTGATTTGCCAATGCCACTGATTAACTTCTAGAACTTGGTCATAGGACACTATTACTGAAACCACCACATACATGAGTCATGGAACATGGAGAAGTCAAGCTGGTTTGATTTGGAAGCTTGATTCCTCTGTCTAGAATGCATAGTGTTAGAAGGTTCTGTACAAATTACAAGAGAAGAAAAGTAGTTATAAATCTTACAGATTCATGACACCGAGAGCTATAATAATGATCAGCCTAGTAAGATATTACTACTGGGGCTATCGTGATACAGATGTTGTGGGTATAACAAATAACTTCCTGCTCAGATTTATGACAAATGTCTTACACCATGTGGAGAACTACCTAGCTGTGACTAGGTAGGCTATAGGCCCTTGAGGAGAACCTATTAGTATTATTTTGCTAAATGGAAATAATATCAAATCAATTTCTAATGCTTTATCACTATATCCATAGGTGAGTATATCATTTAACCATCAACAGGGAAATATCTTTCTTTAGAAGATGGTGATTAACACAGAGATCCACAACTCATCAGTTTGTACCAAATAAGAGACTATGGGTACCCAGCCCTAAACTGAAATCTATATTACACTATCTCTTCTCAAGGTTGAGGGATCTGAGAGGAATAGTGTTCAGAAAGGTGTAAGATCTAGAAGCAATGGATAACTATAAGGAAATAGCATTTCCTGGACACAACAAGACAGTTTCACATAGGAACTCACAGTGATTGGGACAGCATTCACAAAAACAGAAAAAACATGAAGGGTAGAATGGTCAGGAAGTCCCATCCCTAGCTTAAGACTTATTGGCAATTGATTATGGCTGAAAGAAGGAGAGCCAGTTTTTAAGGGTATAAGGGTATAACCACTGGCAGGTGAACTACACTCCTATGGGATGACCTACCCCAAAAAGATATAGGATTCCCTAACTGAACTCAGTGGGTTTACAAATTTAAGTGAATATACAAATTTAAGTGAATAGGGAAGTGGTGGCAAATCTGGGAAGAGTTGAGGAATGAATATGATCAGAATATATTGTATGAAATTCTCAATAAAAGAATGTTATTTTAAAGAAGAGAGACAGACAGACTTCATCAAGCCTCTAGATTCACAGTACTTTTGGGAAACAGATTTCCTGCTATGAAAAATACCTGTGGGAATAAACCAGTAAGACACAGAAAATGGTGGAATCTATAGGACAAATGACCTAATTTTTGTTTGCACACACATAATATAAAGGAGTAGGATACTGTTATAGAGTAAAAGAAATTTTGAGACATTTCATCCATTGTAACATCTGAACCTTCTTAGATGTTGATTTGTTTAAATAAGTTGAATTTTTTACATAAAATTAAAATAACGGGAATATAGACTATTAGTGATATTAATTTGTGCACAAGCACATGTGTGTGTGTGTGTATGAGTGTATGTTCACTACATACATACAGGAGCATGTGCAAGCCAGAAAACAGCTTCTGATACTTTGGAATTAGAGTTCCAGGAAGTTATGAGCCCCCAAGTAGGTGCTGTCACAAAACCCAGAACATCTGGCAAAGCAATAAGTGCTCTTAACCACTTATCTACACTCTACTGATTTTTAATTGGTGAGATGATGTAAGGTTCAGTATTTTATTTGCTTTATAACATTGCAGCTTAATATTTAGGTGACAGTGACAAAGTCTATATGAAGCTGATGGCATGTATCAAGAGATTAATTTCATTTTGTTTTTACATTGTTATGTTTCTGAGCATTAAAAGGAACTTCTAATGTGAGTTGAAACAAATGAAGAATTTGAAAGCTAAAGAAGCTGCAATTTTTTCATTTTCTTCCATTCTTGTTTTTATGTTGTAATTTCCTGTTATTACTCTCTATTCCATATAAATTCATCATGAGTGATGATGGTACACTTTGGACATATATCATGCCTATGCAAAGCTCTCTAATCCATATTTCTACCCAAACATTCTAAGGAAATAATGTAAAGCTGATACTTGTTCATGGGTATAGAGAAGCATGGGGAATGTGATACCAGTGGGATAGGTTAAATATATATATATATATATATATATATATATATATATATATATATGTAATTATTTTTGGCAACTCCAGAATTTAAAAGAGATTTACTTTATTCTACTGCTATTTTAATATCATTTTGCAAAATATGTCAAGTCATTCAATATGATTTATTTGGGTCTTCATTTTATCCTGGTAGGGCTACACAATGATCTTGTGTGCATTGGTAAAGAATGAAATAGAATGAAGAAAAAAACATGTATCTGTTGGATTAATTTCTATACTCCTCTGCCTGTGAGAGCACAGACTTTACTTTGGACTTTAGAACTGGAAGATCGTTGAGTCTGAAACCTTTAGGAAAGAGACACTGGCTTCTAGGAACCAGAGCTGGTAATTCAATCTGATTCATTTGAGCAAGATTCTTTATGTACTTACATGTGACTGGATGAAATCCCATGCTGCCATGGTGCTGTTGTCTGAGTGATAATGTTGAATGCTGTCATTCAGGCCCTCTGCTACATATGTGTTCAGCTAGAGTAAATCATATTCCACCAGAGAAGATATAGTCAAAACAAGACAGATTCAAGAAATAAGATATTTCTATTAGACCCCTCCACCCAAGGAGTCATAACTGGGAAAGTAAGATGAGGAAGACTATAAGGGAAAACAAACTAAAGAGGATATACATAATGGACTCTTATCCTTCCAGAACTAGAGTTACAAGGGAAGAAAGATAAAACCAAAGCCAAGGTCAAATCTTATTGAAAAGTTTGCTATCTCTATAAAGAGATGTAGGCAAGAGGAAAACAAGCTTGTTTCATTTTCTCTCCAGTTATCTTTCAAGGCATCATTCAATTACAATCTTCATGACATATTTTTCCTCTCAACTGCAGTTAATCTCTCATCCTTCTACTTCATTTGTATAACTGTCTACTAATTTTGTTTTACTAAAATCTCCACAGTGTATTTCCCATCTCAGAAAGAAGAGAGCAAGCCATGTTCTTCATAACTTACCTTCTGTTCATACACAAAAAGCAGGATGGCTAAGGTCACCTCAGCAAGAAGAATAATCATCAGCAGAACAAAGAACTGTGACAAAGCAGAGACATGATCAGAAAATTGATCCCCATTTCTGATCTACCTCTCTCTGCCTTGGGAGAAAACAGGTCTACACATGTGTGCTTATGCATGCATGTATGTGCATATTCACACACACACACACACACACACACACACACACACACACACACACACACCTATGCATGGGGAACTGCACCTGCTTCCTCAGGGCTTTCTAAGTCCCCTCTTGTTTTATGAGTAATATGTGTTCTCTTCCCTACAGCTGGACTCTAGAAGACAGATCAGCTACTGCCTAACTCTGTTCTAACACTGTGGAGTCCGTTTTTAGCATTAGCCTAGTGAAACAGTTGTGCAAAAAGCCAGGAAATTAAAGCATGAGTTTGGGTCCTGGTCCCATATATCAGATCAAGTCTAGTTCATGGTAGAGGATAGATGATGATAAAGTTTAGGAGGGCATACGCACAGAGGAAAAAGAAGCACAATCATTGTTCTGAGCCAATTTTTATCTACAAATTTAGAATTTTAATCCCTGCATGATATCTACACAAAAATGTTCACAACTTTATTTGTTCTTAACCTTAAAAAAAATCTAAACACCAATTTTGGCTGCTTAAATCATTTGTTCTGTTGCTGATATTTTCTATAATTTTCTATCTGAGAACTCTTTGATGACACTTTTTTTAAAACAAAAATACTATTGTTATTTACCATGGCTTTAGCTTAAATGTTGATTTTGAAAAGATTTATCACATGACTTAAGGTATAACTGATATGGGAATACATAAGAATGGAGACATTGTTATACCAACCTCTGTCCTTAGAATACTAGGAGAATTATATCTCTTTTACTCCAATGCTAGTAGGCAAAATCTGAGCCTGATGGTACTTCTATGGTCCATTATTTGATAGGGAACTGCTGCAAATCCCTTCTTCTAATAGTCAAGGACTTCAGCCAAGGTCTTTACCTAAATTGTGTCACTCCTACTATGAAGGATAGTTTGTACATGAATTAAGGAAGAACTCTGTATCATTGGGGAGGGTTACTATGTTCAGAAGAACCTAGAGATTATTTTTCATCAGTAAATTACTATGTGTCAGATCCTAAAATATGTTTTTACATAAGGATTTAAGCAGAAAGATAACTAACTTCAGTCAGACATCGAGGAAAAATACTATTCTGTGAAAGGTCTTAACAGTGACAAGGACCATTATTGACAGTGTAAAATGGATACCACAGATAGCAGCAATGTCTTCTATATATCCTGGGAATCCCAGTGAGAAACAAACTAATATCAGTGTATAAAATCTTGGCTGATAAGAAATGGTTAGCTTTAATAATCAACTTGGCAGCCTAGAATCAACTGGAAACTTCCCAATAAATTAATACATTTTCTAAATTAGGTTGATCTGTGGGTGAAATATTCTTATTGTTAATTGAAATGGGAATCCAACTCTGACTACTGGTAGCATTATTTCATTGGCTTAACCCTGACCTGTGTAGGTGTAAAGAAAGCTACCAGAGAATATACAGAAAGCAATCAATGGTTCAAGCACTGTTTGTTATTTAATCTTGACTGCAAATGCAGTGATTAAAAACCTGCTTTAATGTTACTAATTTTGAAGGCATGAAGTGGTCACATAGAGAAACTGAGTATTGGAACTTTGAGTCAGGGTCAAGTCTTCTGTAGAGAGGCCTCTAGTGAATGTGATGTCTCAGTTACAATGGAGACCCCAGGGCACTGAAAATACTATACCTATAGGAGTATACAAAGGAGACCTACAACTGTAGAGAGGAACTAACTGTCTTACTCCCAAGACAGAATCCATATGTTCTACTTGAGACATCATCTACCCCAACTCAGAATATCACAGTTGATGCAAGGACTCACCGACATAAGCAGGCACTTATTTTCCTTGATTGAGCCCATGCAGCCCAAGAAGGCAACTACCATGATAATTGAGCCCACAATGACGAGAACGTTGCCCAGCGTCAGGAAGGGAAGGTTACGGAAGAGCACTCCATAGGTGTTTTGGACCAGGAAGTAGATACCAAAGCCCAAAATGCAACAGCCACAGACCTGAAAGGAAGAATTCCATAGCATTCTAAGGTAAATATAGTTCTTAAGTATCTCATTTGTATTCTCATGTTCTTGAGATCAGAATCATCTATTTTGCTTTTTGTTTTTTTTTTCTTTTAACTCACTCCAGACTCATGAGGTCACCTCTATATTCATTTTCCCCACTATCACGTAGAAAGGAAATACCAGCTTCTGCATATGGAGTCACACTCATATCTTTTACTTCACAGAACAATAAACCAAGGAGATGTTATATATATATATATATATATAGATAGATATAGATATATATATATAGATATAGATAGATAGATAGAGAGAGAGAGAGAGAGAGAGAGAGAAGACACTTTATATCTTGATGGGTAAACTGCTAGAGATGCCAAATTGATAAAAATATTCTCATAAAAATATGAGTAATAATTCATTTTATATATGAAATGCAGCTGCTGAATTCAATACACTGAACTTTGTATTGAATTTTACACTGAAATCTATTTGGACATCTTTTTTTCATGTTAAATTACCTATACATGGACATATGTGTCTTCAACTTTACATTTTTATTAGTCCATATTAATTGTATAAAATATTTCATTGTTATATTTCTATACATCAAGAATATAGGGTAATATAATCATATTAAACCCCGTATTACTTTATTTTATGTGCTTTTTCTTTTGTGTTTTTCTCTTTCTCACTCTTAATAGTCCCCTTTGAGTTAAGTGCCTTTCTTTATTTTTCTTTGCTTCCACATATGAAGAAGATGCCATACTTTTCTATATGGTACTAACTTAATTCACTCAAAGTAACCTCAAATTCCATATATTTTTTTCTGCATAGCTTTATTCTTTTAATGGCTAAGAAAAGCTCTATCATGTACATATACCACATATTCTTTATCCTCTATAGATGGAAGTCTAGTCCTCATCAACAATTTAGCTATTGTGAATGATCCAGTGAAAATTATGGATGTTCCAGTATCTTTGTAGTAAGGTGATTATGATTCTTTTGGAGACAAAATGAGGAGTACAATGGCTGGATCATATGGAAGCCCAAAATTTGAAGAAAAAGAGAACAAGAAAGCACTACAACAAATGAACAATAAAAATAATCTTAAAAGAATGAAGTACAAATCACCAATAAATATCTGAAAAAGGCACCTTTAACTACTAAAACTCCACTTCATCCCATTGGAATGTCTTTCATAAGGAAAACTATCAACAACAAATTATGATCAGGAATGCAGAAGATAGAAACCCTTTCACACTATTATTGAGAATACAAATCAGCCTAGATACTGCAGAAGTCATTATGGGTGTTCTTTTAAAAATTAAAAACTAGAACTTCCATGATTTCTCAGTCAACATGCTTTCATGGGATCAGGGATGAGGAGAGTATAGACTTTGACACCCAAATTGTAGTCCATTTTTCACTTATAAATACCAGCTATTTGCAATGTTACCCTAAAGCCCCTAGATAGAATTGGCACCTCAATTGTTAACTCACTGATAACTTTCAATTTTGAAGACTTATATTGTGACAAAATGGCATTGCTCCTTTGTACCTACATAAAATGTTCTGGATATTACCTAGGTGTGCACAGTTCATATTCTATACTATATTCTTTAACTGAGAAGAAAGGACAGATTAATTGGGATAGAGGGGTGTTTTTTAAGACATATTCAAAGGAGATACACTTACCCAAAAGAGCAAGTTAAAGAAAAACAGGACATATTTCAGCAATTTCAAGCTGCTCATGCCCATGCTGGGATAGTTTGACCTAAAAAGCAGAAGGAATAAGAAAGGATTTTTAAATGAGGATTTAGTATTGTAAAGTAGCACAAAAGACTCCTAAATGCAAGTGCTTAATATTCAAGGGTTATCAACACCATTTATGTTTGAACTATTTATCTCTTCACTGGATAGTTTTCCCTAAATCTCTGCTTCCATACTTTCAAAATTAAAGCCCCAATTGAAAAACCATCATCTTGAACACTGAATATTCAGTAAGCAATGTTTGGTATTACTGTAAGCCTCATGAGCCAACAATAGAGCTATTCTAACAAGATGAGTCACAGTGACAGAATAATCCAGTGTTTTTGGTCCTGTATGACATTAGTGACTTATGTATGGCTACCCAAGAATAGCCAGGACTGGCTGATCGATGTGCAGGGTAGAAAGTCAGTGACTTGATCAGGAATTTCCTTAACTGTCTTGAGACTCATTACTTACTAAATTTGTTGTTGTTGGTTTATTTTTGTAACTGTATTTTAATTACAACATTTATCCCTTCCCATTCACTCCTCCAAACACTCTCATATACCCCTCTCCACTCTCTTTCAAATTCATGGCCTCTTTTCCATCAGTTGTTATTGAATGGTCTATAAAACTCTCCATATGAAAGTGCAAGCTGGTATACATATACATTATTTGTCCTTTTACACATAATTATCTGTGGTATTTCTGTTCTAGATATGGCCATGGCTAAGTACTAAACATCTTCCAATCAATGTTGATCCTATAGCAGAAATGAAACACACAAATATATAATGAGGAATTTAAAAGAAACCACAATATGAACACAGTCTTTTAAACAAGACTATCCTTTTTTAGCAAGGATACCACTGTGTGAATGTTTATGATGTATTGCATAGTATATACATATATGTATATTTGAGCACCAGAGGAGTGCACCAGGTGTCCAACTCTGTCACTCTTTGATTTAAGCCCTTAGGGGGATACAAACTTGGAGGGTGAAGAGAGAAACACAGGAAGGAGGGAGAGAGAGAGAATGTGGTTGAAGAGAGAAAAAAAGGGGGAAGGAGAGAGAAAGAAGGATTTATATCTAGACAATGACCGTCTAGATAAATCAGAGTAATTTCATTTCAAGACATGAATATGAAGAATATGACAAATTCCTATAATCCTGGTGCTGGGGAGGCTTATGCAAGAGGATTACAAGTTTGACATAATCCTAGGCTACACTGTGTGTGTGTGTGTGTGTGTGTGTGTGTGTGTGTGTGTGTGTAAATTAAACTGCCAAGGCTAAAGCTTCAAAGCAAGATATAAAAACATACTAGGATGTATTAATGAAAAATAATGGTAGATATTACATAAAAGAACAAAACAGGATATGTAACAATATATAAAGGAATAGAGCATCATCTAGGCAGTGGTGGTGTACACCCTTTAATCCCAGCACTCAAGAGGCAAAGGCAGGTGGATCGATCTCTGTGAGTTCCAGGCCAGCCTAGTATACAAGAGCTAGTTCCATGACAGCCTCCAAAGCCACAGAGAAACTGTCTTGAAAAAAAATCCAAAAATAAATAAAGCAAAATTGCATCTCTAGATGAAGTAATATTGAGTATGTCATGGGAATCCCCAAAGGAAGTAAGAAAAAATACTTGAAGAATTAATACCTGTAATAAATTCTGAACTACATTAAAATAATTTACTCACATGACAAAAAAATCAATGAAACCTCAGATGACAAAGAAGATCAATGAAAAAGAATAGTGAAGAATGTAAGAGACATATGAGATTTGTTCATTATATTCATATGATGTGACTATGATATATACAAAAGCTAAGGAAATTTCTCTTCAGCAGATCTACACTACCAGAAATATTCAGGGAAATCCTCCAGGAAAATTTATAGGGCAGAGGCAAGACGAACATTACTACATAAATAAGTAGACTAGGTTCTCTTGTTGGTTGTTGTGATTTGGATCTTAGACAGCCCTAAAGACTCATGTGTCAAATGAAATCTTGGTTTCCAGCTGATAGTATATAAAGGGTGATAAATTCTTTAGGAGGTGCAGCTTATTTGAAAGATTTAGGCTCCTGGGGGCATGCCATTGCAGGATATGTCCTTCTACATCTCTCTATCTTTCTCCCTCCCGTCTCTCCTCTTTTTTTCCCTCTCTTTCTTTCTCAACCACATGAGAAGAACATTTTTGCTCTGCTCTGTGCCATCACCACAGTGTTTGAGCCGTATTTGAAAATAACGGGACTAGTGATCACACATTGCATCCTTTGAAAATAGAATCAATAAAGAAAACCCAAACTGAGGGAACTCTGGAAATGAAAAATTTAGATATTCGAACAGAAACTAAAGGCAAGATTCACCAAGAGAAGACAAGAGATGGAAGAGAGAATCTCATCTATTGAAGATACAATAGAGGAAATGGATACATCTGTCAAATAAAATGCAAAATTTAAAAACAAACAAACAAAAAATCCCTGAAACAAAATGTTCAAAAAATTAGGGACACGGTGAAAATACCAAACCCAAGAATAATAGGTAGAGAGGAAAGAGAAGAAATCCAACTCCAAGGCCCAGAAAATGTTTTCAACAAAATCATACAAGAAATTTTTTCTAAACTAAAGGAGATGCCTATAAAGATATAAGAAACATACAGAACATCAAATGATTGAACCAAAAAAGAAAATCCCCTCACCATGTAATAATCAAAACACTAAATATAAAGGACACAGAAAGAATAATAAAAGCTACAAGGGAAAAAGACCAAGGAACATATAAAGTCAGACCTCTTAGAGTTACACCTGACTCCTTAATGGAGACCTGGAGGGGTCTGGACAGATGTGGTGGATATTCTAAGAGACTACAGATGCCAACCAAGACTATTATATTCAACTAAACTTTGAATCACAACAGAAAGAGAAATAAGATATTCCATGGTAAAGTTAAATGTAAACAATATTTATCTATAAATCAAGCCTTACAAAAGATGCTAGAAGGACAGCTCAAACTTAATGATGCTAACTGCATCCATGAATATACAGGAAATACAAAACATGAAAGTATAGCAAAATCGAAAAAAGGGAAGCACACTCATGTGCATATGCACACACACACACTCACACACTCACACACAGACACACACCGTCACCAGCACCAATTCCACCAGCACTAGTAATAACAAAATAACAGTGATCAACCTTCATTGGTAATTGATATCTCTGTGTATCAATGGACTCAATTCCCTAATAAAAAGACAGAGACTAACAGAATGGATGTTAGAACAGGATCCATCCTTCTACTGCATTCATAAAACATATCTCAAGATCAAGGATAGAGATTATCTTAGGATAAAGAGTTGGAAAAAGATATTCCAAGCCAATGGACCTAAGTAGCAGCCACCATAGTCATTTTAATATCTAACTAAATAGACTGCAAATCAAAACTAATCACAAGAGATAGGAAAGGACACTACATGTTCATCAAAGGAAAAATCCTTCAAGACATTTCAATTATTAACATTCATGCCCCAAACACAAGGGCCACCAAGTTTGTCAAAGAAACACTACTACAGTTTAAATCGCATGCTAACCATCACAACTGATAGTGAGAGACTTCAGGACCCAATTCTCATCAATGGGAAAGGTCATCCAAACAAAATCTAAATAGAGAAATATTAGAGCTATATAAAAATTAACCTAGCAAATATTTATAGAACATTTTACCTAAACAAAAAAGAATATACACCTCATGGGACTTTCTTCAAAACTGACCACATACTCATATATAAAACAAGTCTCAATATGCACACAAATACTGAAATAACTCCCTGAGTCCTATAAGACTACAAAGGATTAAAGCTGGACATCATCAACAACAGAAACAACAGAAAGCTTACATACTCATGGAAGCTGAACAACTCTCTACAAATAAAAATGGGTCAAGATAGAAATAAAGAGCAAAATTGTCTATGGCCATACCACCCTGAATGCACCAGATCTCATCTGATCTCAGAAGCTAAGTAGGGTTGGGCCTTGTTGGTATTTAGATAGAAGAAATAAAGAACAAAATTAAAGACTTTTAAGAAGCAGACACCCACAGCTAACACACTGAGACAAACTCCTGGAATCCAGTTGCAGAGAGGGAGGAGTCAATGGGGTCAAGACCAGGATACAGAAACCCACAGAGACAGCTGATCTGAACAAGGGGGAGCTAATGGACCCCCCAGACTGATAGCAGGGAATCCATCATTGAACCGACTCAGACCCCTTGAACAAGGTTCTCAGTTAGAAGGCCTGGGCAGTCTAGGACCTCTGACAGTGAAACCAGGAAGTATCCCTGGTGCACAAAAGGAATTTGAGAGCACATTCCCCATGGAGGGATACTTCCTTAGCCTAGAGGCAGAAGGGTGGGCCTAATCCATACTCCAAATGACCTGACAGATTTTGTTGATCCTTCCTGAAAGGCATCACCCTCCTTGTGAAGTGGGGAGGGGAATGGGAAGGGAGGGGAGTCAGGGGGCATGGGAGGGAGGGAAGGAGGGAAAGGGAACTGAGATTGATATGTAAAATAAGAAAAATAATAAATATATGTAAAAGAATTCAATGAAAATGAATACACAGCATACACAAACATATGGGACACAATGGAAGGGGTGCTAAGAGGGAAGTTCATATCAATACGGGCTTATAATTAAAAATTAGTTGGTGATTGTAGACAGTAAATAGCCTATGCACAAAAACATGTACTGGAGAAGCCAGGGAAGTTTAACATGCACAGCTTACCTATTCAATGGAATGAGATAGGGAGCTATTCTTCCTGGAATGCCAGGAATGGTGTAGTTTTTAACATGATGATCCTTTGCTGTCTGATTAGACAGGCTCTGCCTATATCTTCCAGGATTTATGTTTTTACTTATCCAAGCCCTTTCCCCTTAAATCTTATGCATTGCTTTTAGACCATAAAATCCTCTCTTATGTGTGATGTTACTTGTGCTTTACAACCAACCTAAGTGACTT